CTTTTTTTAGGTCTCACTGGCTAGGCACAAAGAGGCCTTACACAAAGGATATGCACAACTTAACATGCATACAGCAGTTATGTACAGGCTAGCACACAGAGAAGATAGCCAGGATTTAATGAGCTGTTGGATTAAGCACAAGTATGCTCTCCAGCCCTCGTGAGCTACATGCTGGCCAGGCAGGCCTCTGGGGATCCTGCTGTTATTGGTTTTCCCTCTTCCATCAGCTTTGTCTTCACTGGCAACTCAACCCAACACCACAGTGAGTGCTCAGTAGCCCTCAACTAGTCTGACAGTCCTGTCTGGTTTTTTCCTGCATGACTGTGTCCCTTTCACGCTTTTGCCATGGTCTGAGCCAGGGTTATACATGTGTGGTGTCACAGCTGGGACTTGGTCCCTTGTATGCAGGTAGCTACAGCCCTGCGTGGGGAGAAGCAGAAGTCCAGAGATGAGAGGCTACAGATACCACTTAATGATTCCTTGCATGGTCAAATTTGTCAAGTCATTTGCTTCAGCTGGCACTTAAATAGCATTTTTGAAGGCTTGGAACATCAAGAGATTACCACATACACCCTAAGCTTTACTGACTTCAAGGGACAATGGCTGCCTTACTCAGCTGAGTATCAGAACCTACATTTTCTAAAATATGAATTTTAATTTTACAGGTTAATTTAAAGATAGGCCCACCCATAGCTACGGCTGAAATGACTGTCTAACTGGGAGTTTATGTGCACTAAACATTACACGACTGTAGCAATCTCACCAATAAATATACTGTGACAAAGTGACGCTAGGCCTGAGAGAGAAAAAATATGATTTGAAGTATGTCTTTATTATTATAAATGGAGAGTAGCCATAAAAGATAATTGCAAAACAATGCACTGTTACGCAGGAGATCTTAACTTCCCAAAGTAATAGGGAGTATGAAAGCCTCTACACCCAGCTGAAGGCCTGGCAGCAGAAGGGAGCTGCCCTCTCTTGGAGAGCAGACTACTTACAGACCAGCGACAGCCCAGGACACACTAAGCACTGGAAGAAAGCAGGCAAGGTGGAAGGAGGGTAGAGGATTGTTTCTGAGTGGTGAAGTAGCACCCAATGAATGAAGAGATGCACTAATGCTGCACTTCAAGCTTTGTTGTTGTTGTTTCACACAGAATTAAACAATCATCCAGATTACTACAGTGCAGCATGAACTCGATCAACTGAGGAGGAAGCTAGATGATACAAAAATGAAACTCATAATAGAAATTAAGGTACTCTGCCTTTAATTAAACAGTAGAAATGTGACAATGTATAAAAAGATTAGATCTTCTCAACTAGCAGATGATGTAAATATTTGCTAAACAATTCTTCTTTATGCTGTTAGTTTTCTAGTGTTAGTTGTTGTAGCTTCATCACTTGAGACAAATTACTCCAGAACATCAGGTTATTAGACGATTTTGAATGTATGACTTTCAAGCAACTTAAATGTTCAAGGTACTGTGTAAGCTAAGGTTCACAATCGTTTTCATAAAATTCCCATTTGACTCAAAAGGTAGTTGAAGAAATACTCTGAGTGTGCTGAGGCACTGATCAGTAATAGACCACAGATAAGGTGAAAAAAATGGTATAAAGGAAGAAACAAAACAAAAAGAGAATGGCTGTCCAAGCAGATGAGAGTCCTCTTCACTGGCTTTCCTCTGTACCAGTGCTGCCTATGGCTCTTTTTGGAAGGAAGATGATAGTATAGGCCTTCACACTGGACAGCTTTTCAGCTCTGAAAGCTTGAAATAGGAGTCTTCTATGTCACAGAGATTGCCCATACCCCTGTTCACCTGGTTACTGGGTAGTCTAGTGTAGATGTACTCACTATGCCTCCTCCATTGTCTAACAAGGAGTGGAAAGAACAATTAATTTCATAGTTGTCTCAAAAACATCAAGGCAAAGTACAGAAGAAAGCAGTGCTAGAACTAGGCTATCTAATTAGACATGAAAGTTTTAAAGATGAAAGATGTATCCCGTATTCAGCCACAATGTATAAAATTCCATCTTAGTTATATAAGCCTACATGCATGTCAACTCCAAAACACTTCCTTACATTGCCATTCCTGAAATTACTGGTTCTTCTGCAGATGAGAAAGCAGGCAGCATCCGATTTACGAGCACTGAGAGCAGAACTGACACAGAAGAAGATTCATTCAGCCTTAGTTCTTCAGTCCAGAAAATCAGGACTTTAAGATGACATGACTTTAACATCCATCAAGTCTACAGAAGCTCTGTAATGTATATAGCAGATGAGAATTTCAGAGCATTTGTTCGTATGTGCTTGAAGTTATCTTGTAAAAAGACATCAACTATATAAATAAATGTTTGGAATTTATATACTAGGCTGCTGAGGTACTGCAGATCATTTCTTTTTAAATCTCACTGTGAGATTAGTCAGCTACTTAAACTTACAGTTTAACCTGCTAACGTGTCTAAAATTAAGCTGTTATTTTCAAAGTGCAAATTAGTGAATTGTGTAATATCACAGTGGTGTGCTGACGTTCTTTCATTAACAAAATAGCTACTAAACCTATAATCTATAGCATCCTGTACTTATTTTCAGGCATGCACATTGCATTTTTGGAAAATTTCTTCTGTTAAACTATAGCAACACTAATCCTTTACTAGGTTACTTACTGAAGTATATTTTTGTCATTATCAGTATGCCTATCTATAAATTACAAATGTATTATTACCAGATTATTATGAAGGCTAAAAAATCTCAAATAATCTTACTTTATTTCATCTCTTTTTTGTTCCCTCTCCTATTAGGAAAGCCATACAAACACTGTCTTCTGCACCTAGAGGAAGAGGCAAGCTTTTCCTTGGACAAGCACAACAGTGTTCCTGGTCCAACTCACAATATTGCACAGTCTGTTGTTCTTTAAATCCAAGCTCATGCATGTGCTTAGATGAACAACAGTCTGAAAGAGGAATCAGAAATCTCTTCTTCATAGTAATTTTTTTCTCCCTCTCCTGTTTGCCTCTTTGCAGTACCAGTTGTTATTACATAATGTAGAACAATAACATGCTAGAAATTAATCTCAGATAAAAAGCTGACAGGACTGTATTTATTACTGGAAGTGAAACACTCATGGGAAATAAGTTATATGATAAGACTAATTTCTAAATGTCTTGAGTCATACCACACATTAGCCAATTGATTTTCTTAAGGACAGGACTGAAGAAAGATTTTAGTCCTGAAGTATTAAATTAATCATTAAAACTAAAACCACTTTTGTTCAATTCAGGATTGAATCCTGTATTACCTCTTTCAGAATTGTGTCTTATTTAAGAAACAAGAGCAGACAACTAGCTACTGGAAAATCTGAACCTAAATTAAAAACATAATAATATCAACAAAGAGAGTTTTATTATTAAAACTGGCCCTCATCTGGCCCTCAGGATTTTGTAGGTCAAATATTCACTCCAGAAGACCTCTCAATTCAGCAAATATGTATCTCACAGTACTTTAGGATATGAATATAAGCAGTAATATACATTCTGAAGTACACAGGTAGATATCTATATATAAAATATATAAAATTTAGCAGTTTCTCCTAAAACCTACAGACTAGAGGGCAACTAAAAAGCCTTCTGAATTTTTCAAGGGTATTTTTTTGCTTTATGCAAGAGCAGCAGGCTTCACCTTCTGCTTTCCATCACCTGGAATACCAAGCAGTCAGACAACTCATACAAAGGTTCTAGTCTTTCCCTCAGTAGCCATTATAGTAGTGCTGCTACACTATGGTAACTATTTAGCAAGAGAAAAAAAACCCAACCAATAAAAAACCCTCAACCAAACCCAGAGCTGACTACATCTGTATAATTAAATAAATTTTTAATTACTGGAGTCACTTAAGCAGTGCACACTTGCACTTTAATCTGGTTGTGAAACAGTTCTGAGAAGCAGACAAGCAGTGTGGGCTGTAAGCTGTAGAACAAGTAAAGCACAAGCAGGCAACATTGTTTACCAACCTTGGTGAAGACAGCATTTTATTTAACAAAAACCCTGTAAACACCAGCCAATCTTTACATCACTACAGATATTTTAAAAAGTTATAAAATCTCTCTAGGCAAATTATTTTATGCAAATATCAACTAGAAAGAAAGCATAACCTCCTATTATCTCAGAGGCAACACCCCTTAAAAAGAAACAACGGAATGAATCTGAGAGTGTGTGGAAAAATAGATAAATGCAGTTCATTAAATAAGCTTCTGAATTCTAGTTTTCAGGAAGTAAAGTAGTTTGAAATGGAAGAAAACATCATTCAAGTCCTCCCCATATTAATGCTCCCTCTTCAAAGCCCAAGATTTTTGGCTTTCGAAACTAAAGAATTTCCATGATACATAAACCCAGTGAAACTGGAGTTTATTGAGTGTTCCTTTCTAACAAGTCTGATAAAAATCTTAATGGTAACTACTTCATGTTACGTAATTTATTCAGCCTATAAAATATTTTAATCTCTAGAAGAGTAACCAAGTACAAACACAGGTTTCACCAAGCTGCATATAAGCAACAATCAGTCTCTCCAGTATTCTGTTTAACCTGATTCTTGAGTGGCTTAGCTAAAATACAGGTTGGGTTGGAAAGTCAGAAGGCTGAGACAGTACCACGTGACCCCAGAATGAATGCTTGCTGCACCAAGCAGCCTTAGCAAAGGGCCACTGTGAGACTGCCCCTGTAAACCCACCAAGTGATCTTACTTCTTACCAGACACACACTGGGTTCAAGCTTTAACCAGCTTATGGTAGTTGTGAAAAATGGAAAAGATAAGCAGCCTTAAAGACCCCTGCTGATAAAGCAACATTGGAACTTTTTGAAGAATGAAAATACAGCTTTGCATACAAAATTGCAAGACTGTCTAGTTATTAAAGTGTTTGCAATCATGGTATATTTATATAAAGTCAAAATCATAAAATTTTATAGAAATTTTATAGAATCATAGAAATCACAGGATTTTATAGAATCATAGAAATCTGTGACAGTGTAAGCCAAAATAAATAATTACCAATTTTCATTGTTTTAATCACAAAGTTCTCATGGTGTCAGAGCTTGCCACATTGCTTCAGTTTGTTGTTGTGCTACAGCTTCCCCAGAATAGTCAAGACTATTTCCATTCCACATGCCAATGCCCCTTAAGCCTCGATTCTTCACGTATGCTGCTTTTAGCGAGATGCTGCGAGGGTCGTCATACCATACTTGGTGCAAGTGACCAAGAGAATCCTAGAAAAACATTTAAACACTAGTGTCAGTATCTACCTATCTATGTAAACATCACACATTAGAGTTCATTGGGGTTTGATTACATTTTCTGTTGAACAGTGAAAAGCACAATTAAAAACCGAAATATACAAGCTCTGCAGATTGACATCACACTACTCTCCTGATTTACCAATTATTTTTCACACAGGACAATTAAAAATTCTAAGTCAAATACTTAGCCATTTCTTTACTTGTAGAATCTGTAACTATAAAACAGTGACACAACTTAACTGAAGTTAGCTGAAAAGACTTAGATGATTTGTATTTTAATATTCTTTTAAAATACAGCTAAAATTTCAAATACATTATCTAACCTGACAGGTGAATTTAGTTAGAGATTAAGTGTTTCTTTTTCAGCAATAAACAATTTTAGATGAGGTTATAAGATTTTGTCAAAGTTATGTTGCTTTGAGCAGATCATTGCTTACAACACCTTTTAATCATCTACGTGTGTAACTTAAAATTATGGCTAAAGAAACAAGAAGTGGTGTTCCTGTATGCACAGTCATTTATGGACTTTTTCACTGTGTCTATGTAGAAAGTGAATGCAGAAGAGAATGTGCATGGAAGCCACTGAGTTAGAAAAACTTAAGAGCATCTCAGAATCTGTTTTCGTTTAAATCAGTCATCAACACATAAAAGTGACTAAATGGTGAAAGATAGAGCTATAGGATTACTTTGTGCCAAAATGTCCTTTTTGACATGATGCAGTATCTTGAGAAAACTGCAAAGTAATAAAGATCTTTATTACTCCTGCAGTTTTCAGGCACTGCACCCCCCCCTTCTGACTAGAAATTCAAGACATGGAACTCCTGCAATCTTTTACTACACCAAAAAAATAAGTAGCAAAGATAAATGGAAGACTATAATCCTGAAAACTTTATAGTCAAAGAACTATAGTTCACGAACATTTACCCCACAACATGGTGTCTTAGATAGAGACACTTACCTTGTATTCATAAAATGGAGACTTCTGTACCTCATCCCACAGCACCCCTGACAGAGAACTGTTCACCTGTTTCATGATTGTTCCATAGGGGACCTGCTTCCCTGCAGCATCACTGCAAGGAGCCCCACGGAATGGCACTTTGGAAAGGGAACAAACATGATCCTGAAAAAAAGCAGAAGGTATGAGTTTCATGTTACATAGATTTATTGAACTCCAAAAAGGCAGTACAGCCAACAACAAGTCAGAAAGGCATTGGGGGTCTCAAAAATCCTAAATCTTCCAGCAACTCTGGCAGATATACTATTTGTAGAAATGAGCAAATTAAAGCAGTTAAACTTTGTTTACTCTGTAGTAATACAGGATTGGATGGATATCATTGAGCTAAGACAGTCATCTTTCCCACTTTTAATTCACTCTTACATTTTTCCTAAGTATAATGTTGTTTGAGAGTCCATACACTGCTTTAGCTGTCACAGGTTTGCTATGGTTTGTTGCACCTATCTTTAAGCAGTGAGCTTAGTGATGGTTTTGAGAAGGCACATACAAGTGTTGTAGGGCCTTTGGACATCATCTGTTCTTGCACAGGTAACATCTCTAGCTCCTTAGTCAAACATGGTGCTTGGGCATTCATGGGGTTCAGGTTGCCTGGGGAGCTAAAATGCCTTGCCTGGTAATGCACTGCTCATCAGTTATCAGCCAAGCAAAAGACTCTGTCTTGTGTCTCAGCTTTATGGTCTTATCCATCAGAACACAGTATTTCCTAATCCAAAAACAAGGTCACCAAAATCTAGTTGTATCATTACAAGGAAAAAAATTAACCATACAACTGCAAATGAATAATCTTATCTTACCGTAGATAGGTTTTGGCAGACATAGTCATAGCCATACCAGGGGACACCCATCACAAGCTTCTTAGGGTCAATACCCATAGAAATGTACTCTTCATAGCCTAGTTTTGAGGGAAATAAAAAAAATAAGACGCATTATTTCCTTTCCCTGTGCTCTCTATTCTTACAACTAATCTAGAGCCAGAGCCAATATAGGACTTGCATGATCCTCAGACAGAGGCTAAGGTGCAAGCTCTCCTTTAATCTCCACCTACACACTCCTAGGCTTGTCCTACCAAGATCCCAATAACTGCTCTAGTTGCTCACACTTAAAAACATCTGACCTTCGCAGCAGTTCACACGGATGAAAGAAATGTTTCAGGCTCTGTGCAAGCCCAGGCAGACACCATTGCTCCGGCCCCTGTTTGTCATTCTAAAAGTGTTCTTCACACTCATGAGGCCTAGATATTATTTTACAAGTAACAACCCACACTGCTAAAGGTCTGTCTGTAGTGTCAAGGATCAGAGATATTTTCACAACAGGACAACACATATTTGAGCACACTCAAAAGCCTCAAGACAACCAAAAAAATTTGTCTAAGAAAAGGCAATGTTTTCTGTCTACGTGGGTGAATGGAAATGTTCTGACTCCTGGGGAGGCTTTTTGTCCTCACCAACTAAAGTCTGCAGGTAAGGAGCATTGGCTTTTGCAATACAGTCTGTCCAGATCTGGCTCTGTTCATCATATGACATCACAAATAAGAAGTCACAGGCATCTGCAATCCCAGTGTAGTTGTAGCACCTTCTATCAATGCATGCCGGAGACCAAGCCACATCAAATGTTACCTGAAGGAAAAAATGCACAAGTTAGTATCATGTTTGTCCTTAGGCACCATTGTTTCCTCTTTTTAAAAAAGCTGTAGCTTTTAAAGACAGTGTTTCACAAATATTGCCATTTAACACACCTACAGGAACTACAGGAGAAGCTGCTCAGCTGATAAAGCAAACACTAGATGATAAAGTGAGTGCCCCATTAGTGCATACCACCAAAAAATTAAAATGAATGTGAAAACTATCTGACCAAAAATATGAAACATGATGCAAATCTTTAAAATTTTAATGATGAGTTCACAAAACACTATTAAACTTTTGCCCCAAAAGGCAGTATTTGCCCTACTTTCAACAATTCATTAAGCCATACTAATAACTGCCAGCTCACACAAGGCTGTAATTTTTATCAGTGAAGCCCTTCTTCCATTTAAATTCCTACAGATCAAGAAGAGTGATTCTTACAAGAGCATATCATAGCTAACATTCTTAATTAACCATTTGTGAGAATATCATATTTAGATCTGCATATACTTTTTCATATTCATATGCTAAACAGCATTGCCCAAACTCCTTGCATTTCATAAAGTTAAACTTCATGATTGTGCAAAGTACATTATTATTACCTGTGATCCTGGTATTTCTCTGTGAAAAGCATCTGTAGTTTCTTTAACAAGCTCTGTCAATGCATAATACTCAGGGGAGGTTTCATTAACCTCTTGCTCTATATCTATGTTAATCCCATCCATATACTGTTTTTTTGCCAGGTCCACCTGTTGGGATATCCATGCTGCTCTTTTAGCAGGATCAACAATTTCTTTGAGAGGTACATCACCTAGGCAAGAGGCCTTCAAGAGTTAGCAGGCATTTACACCACAGTAGTAGTAAGGAGAAAAGGTTTATCTTTACTAAACCAAAAGCATAAATACAAAATAAAAAGTGCCCATATTGATACTGGTAACAGACAAAGGAGTTAACTTTTCTCCCCAAGCATAATTTTGAGAAACCACCCCAGAAGGTAATACCAAGCTTCTTTGAGACAGTGGTGTTTAAAATTAAGTTCCTTTTGTTTTTTCTATAATTTTAATCTCTTTACTTCTTCTACTTTTAGCTACTGTAAACTACCTTTCTTGACATCAATGCACTTCTAGTATTTCCATGGAGCCAGAGGGACTGTCTGGAGAAAAATACTTTTATGCTTAATCTTTGTTGCTTTCCACACTGTGGTTTTGGATTCCATTTTTGCCTCAGCAGAGCCAACAGTTGATTACATCATGTAAACTGTAATGGCCTTTGTCCTTCTAATCAGCACAGAGTTCCTGAGGACTCTTGTTTTAAAACTCAACCACTTTCTAATACAAAGGGATTGATTTAAGGTCAAAGTACTAAAAATTACTTAAAGACTCTTCCCTTACTCTTTCGGGTACTCCACATAACATCCAGAATACAGACCCAAATAACTATCTTCTACAGGCTTTTCCATTCCTCCCTCTTGCACCATAATGTGATGCTGCCTGTTAAAGAACTTTTATTTAGATCTCACTGGGATGGTTTCGTTACTACTGTGGCAGAGGACACCACCGGTTTTAATACCCTGTATACCAGCACATGCAAAATATCAAGGTATTATAGTCCTGTGTCTGTTATAGTCTTATTAATTAATCCTCTTAGTGGTTTTAATGCTCTGCATACAATTGGTGAGACACTGGCACAGGTTGCCCAGGGAGGTATTAGATGCCCCAACCCTAATAGTGTTCAAAGCCAGGCTGGACAAATCCTTGAGCAACCTGCTCTGGTGGGAGCACAGGGCAGGGTGGTGGGACTAGATGATCTGTAAGGTCCATTTCAACCCCTAAAATTCTATGATTCTATGAACTGAATGTGAAATATCAAGGTACCATAGCACTGTGTACATTACGTTCTTATTCTCGTATCATAAATATCCACATTTTCCCAAAGTAACCAACCTTTCAGTACAATCCTAGAACCTTTCGAGTGGGCATAGCACATGAGCTCGGGATCGTACTTTCCGAAAGCTGCCACAGTGGTAATTTTTGACCAGTCGTAGGATTTCCAGTCTTCCCTTCCCACATCAAAGACAAAGACCTGGAGATGGGGTAAAAAGCACTTTCATTAGCGCCAAACACTTCTCCGCGGGACGATTATTCCCACGTGCCGCTCACTGGCGCCTGCGGGGCTGGGTGACCCGCTCTGCCCGGGGCCCGGCCCGG